CTAGAAATATCTTAAACTTTTTTCCACTATATAAATAACTCTTCTTTTAATGTAAGGACAAAATCCTTGTTCACTACCTAGACAAAGCAACTCTTTTTTTCGTAACACCAGGATTAAACCACCTTAAGACAAATTCAACTTCCTTTGTTTGAAGAAACTTATTATCCAATACTGTATATAACTTGCTTTCCAATATGTAGAAACTCATTTTTTAATGTCAGGACAAAAATATTTCTAATGATAAAACAAACATGACTTCCACTTTTTAATTAATATACCTACTAGTTTGCCCGCTGTCTGGACAAATTCATTTTCTAATGTCATATCTGTCCTTCCTTCCATTATTTGAATAAACTAATCTCCTAATGTCAAAAAACACCTACCTTCAACAGTCTGGAAAACTCACTTTCCAATATCAGAAGAAACTTACCTTATATTGTCTGGACAAACATGTCTGACACTATTAAACTAGACAAACTCGCATCTTTAACAAACCAGGAATAAGAATGAAAAGATAAAACAAAACAGGAACTTGTATATGCCTACCAATGTAAGGTGTATTAAGAGAAATTAACTTTCACACAAGTTTACTTTATTCACAATGTTGCAGAAGTTTACCTAGCATCATCAGGTCAGATACAAGAACTGAGGCAATAGAAATTAATTTTAACATTGACATCAGCAGCCAGGTTTACCACTTGTAATACCAGGCTGTTGGTGTTAAGAAATCACCTATACAAGAAACACATTTTTATAAGTTATTTCAACCTATCAATCTGAGAGAAATAGTCTGTATAATTTTTGTTGAAAAAATGTTTTTCATTGCAGAGTTGTAAGACATCAAACTCTCAATAGTATTAGTATCAACTAGTGGTAAAAACTGCATTTGAACTCCCATCTAACTAGTAAGATGAACAAAAGAATTTGAGATTTTGTTGGGAAATCTTCTTGCATTGTTTCATTAAGATATGCTTCATAAAAGCACTTAATAACTTCTTAGTTCTTGTCAAAGGTTGATTTAATGATCCTGTCAACAATAGAGGTTTCCGTTTGCTGGAGGGTTGTTGCCCTTCCACTTTTTGTTGTAACTTAACTTCAGACATTAAATC